AATAACCTCCACAACATGTAAAATATTAATTACGAAACCGTAAGGTTAACATTATAACTAAGTATACGAAATAACATACCAGTGCCTCATGCCTCCCGACGTATGGAACAAACCGACCGCCAGCGCGATGAACGGGATTCCCGATGAAAAGTCGGGTAATTCTGCGATACCAGCCGATATACGCATGCTCATCATCCATAAGATCGGGTGGAGGGGGTGGCAGAATCAGGTCACCTCGCTGGTCCCAAGTCTCAATATACAACTCTAGCCATGCCTCATACGCCTGGTCAACCCTCGAACGTTCATCCCGCCGGTAATGTGTCCTAAGCCAGCAGGCGGCGGAGGTACAAGCTGTGGTCGACCAAACTAGCAAAGGACTCGCTCGGTGGCATGATGCTCGAAAATATCGAGACACATCAACGAGACAGAAGAGCTCCAGATAAGTCATCCGGTCGAGAAATAATCGGACCAACCAGCTATTAGCTCGTCGTTGTATGGCCTCCAAATGAACTATTACGTAAAAGCAAGAATCGTGAGTATACGCAACACATATAAATCCAAGCCAAGTAAACTTAAGTATAGAATTAGCTGTGCGGCCTCCAGCAAATCCAACAAATTCCTGCAATAGGGGAGATTATGTCGAGCCTCATACTCGCGTCCGTATCCCCGCCTATCAACCCACCTCCTAGCTAAAGAGAGAAATGCTGGAGGTGGTGCATCCTGAGCTATGGGTGGTAGAGGTGGATAAAACTGCAGGAACCGCTCCCAGGCCCAAACCTAATATAAAATTTAGACGTAAAATTTAAGGTATATTTTTATGATGTATGTTATAATGAAGAGAGTATTTGACTATGTTTTCACCTGCAGTAGCGACAATTATCCTGCAATGTCTCGCTGGGTGCCCATGCATGCCCGGCACATCTACCTGTACAAGTAACCATGAACAACAGCACCCCAGCTGTACTGATGTAAATCATCTAGCCGCTCAAGATGATGAAGAAATCTCAAGCTGACTAGGTTTCCCGAAGTGTTCGGGAACAATACGCCGCCAAACATAAGCAGCAACAACTACCTCGTGTACCGGTTAATATGAAGATCCGGTGTATCATGAGCCATGTCAGCATGCATGGCCTCCAAATGCAGCCGGACGGGCGTCAACGCAAGACGACTAGCCATCAACCTGCAGCCCATACAGAACCTCCACGTCCTGCAGCGTGATAGTGGCCTCGGCAATGGGCAAATGAAATGTATGCGTCTCTGGTCACCACTGCTCTATCAAAGCCGTGATCAACAACCAATCCAGCTGCAGCCGGCCGATCTCAATAATCCTATAGAAATCTGTATCCTGCAGGCGTCTGACTATACGGGGATGGAGATGGCGGGTCTTAAGAAAGTCTCACATATCGTCTACTCTCCTAGCACGAAAAGTCTGGGCCAATAACTGCCCCTCCCATATGTAGGAAGACCTATGCTCGGCCTGTAGCATTAGTAGCTCTAGCGAGGCAGGTCCGGGATACAAAGGCGGAACCTCCATGACGATTACTGTAAATTGAACAAAATTAATTACACTATTTTTCTTTTTCATTGCTTAAATATATTGCAATACCTTTAATATTAAATTTTATTCGATATTTTTACAATATTTTTAACTAGGTTGATACATTTTCAATATTATAATTTTATATTTTATATGTTACTTTAATATGTTAATTTTATTATTTAATATGTTAGTTTTATTGTTTTATATGTTTGTTAGTTATTCACCTATTTTTTACTATAATAAAATTAAATAATTAATTTTTGTAAGTATACAGGATTTAATTATTAAATATTTACATTTTGGTTCCGGACACAATATTGAGGCCCAGTAGCACCAATGTATCCTGAATTCTTATGTTCATGATGAGAAAATTTTCCCGATATATCTCAACAGGTCTGTTATTTTATATGTTAGTTTTATTATTTAATATGTTATTTTTATTATTTTATATGTTTGTTTGTTTGTTACTGACTTATTTTTTACTATACTAAAATTAAATAATTAGTTTTCATAACTATACAAGATTTAATTATTAAATATTCATATTTTGGTTCCGGACACAATATTTGAGGCCCGGTAGAACCAATGTATCCTGAATTCTTATGTTCTTACGTTTGTTGACTATAATTGGAGATAGTTTGTGTTTGGACTATCAGTTTTTTGACAAATTTTTGGGAATAAGAGATACTTAACTGATTAATTTTTATAACTACAAGGATACTATGCTAAAGGGCACAACGTTTTACTACGCTAAAAGGTCACTACATTACAAATACGAGCACTACATTAGGCCACAAGATACCACTACAGGGAACTAAAGTAACAATTTGTCTAGTTTACTAGTCTTTTAGTAAATAAATAATCTAAACCGGATAAAAATAACAAATTAATTTAATCACAAAACAATCACATAAATACATATACCACAGTAAAAAGTAACAAATGCAAACTAATACTATAGTCCATATAAAAAATAACAAATTAGTTAAATCGCAAAACAATCATAAAATAACATAGATCACATAAAAAAACTAATATGCATTTTTTATACAAGTTTTAACAAAAACTAAGTCGGAATATCTCGATTTAAGGTTTTAGAAAGTTGAAGATTTTGTGATTTGGAGCCGAAACAAGCAATAATGTCCGAGATAATGCCTTAGCTAGTGGGACCGAGAATCTACACTTTTTGTGGGACTGGTGGGCTCCACTCGAGTTTTTCTTGATTAAAAATGGGGGGGGGGGGTGGTGGATTCTGTTTTGGAGGAAGGGGAAGGACGATCTATATTATATGTATAGCATCTTTTGTTTAGACGATGTATATATAGCGTCTTAACAAAAGACGCCATAGTTTCCCGCTTTATTTAATTCAAAATATAGCGTCTTTTTAAAAGACGCTATACTTAACTGGCCAAACTGCCGTTAAGTTATAGCGTCTCTAAAAAAGGCGCTATATATATTTTGGTCACTATGCTTTTTTTCACATATTTTGGTTCTTTGAGTCCAAAAGAATCATATTTTGGTTCCGGACTCAATGGATTAGCTATATTGTCAATTGAGAAAGACTTATTAGGAGAAATTGATTATAAGAAAATTATTAATAATTTTGCATCTAAAATAATTTAGAAAAATAGAATTCAAATAAAAAAATAATGATTTTAACGAAGTTAAGGCCCCTCATAATGTTTGGCTTTAGGCCACAAAATTTGTCAGGCCGCCCCGATTCTTTGGCCGGAGTAGAAAGAGAGTGAATCTCTAAGTTTAACAATGTGTTGTTTCCCGAGAAGTGGTTTGCATATCTACGTTGAGTCATTGAACTTAATTTGATTTGTGGAACATTGTCTTGAGAAAGCAAGAAAGGAGAAAAAGTTAAGTAGGTTTTGAGATTCTGGATTTGGTTTTGTTGTGCATGCTTGTTTAATCCAAGTCAATGTGACATGGTCTTTGTATTCCAGAGTTGTTCTTTATTTATGGTGTTATGAGATATCTATAAGATAATTGATTTAATGAAGCTCTTAATAGTTGTTGTAGAAACAAGCTCTCGTAGACTATACTTTCCATGTCTTAATTGGACTTAAGGAATGATCAGTGCAGGCTTTGTGGCCTTAGGCCCCCAAAATACTTAGAGTCTCAAAATCTATAAATAATATATATAATATTTAATAATTATGCACTACTGATAGAATTTTTAAATAATTTGGTTAAAATAGTTATAGCTAAAAGTTTTACACATTAAATTGTAGTTACTAGTTGTAATCTGTCTTTAATTCGTCCCAACTTAAATCGCTCTTGCAATGTTAGTTTAGAACAATTTTTCTTAATTCCTTGACTACCTGTGTAGATATTTTTCAAGCTATTTTGATAAGTAACTATCAAAATCTGTCTTTAACATTGAATGACTCTTGAAACATAATAGTTACTACGGTATTATTTGTTTCAACTTATATTTAGAATTAAAAGTGCTAAGAAAAACTATACAAGTAAAAGAATACTCTAATTGACAAACTCAATCAGGTAAAAAGTGCTAATTAAGTTGAAAATGTTTTTCAAAAGTAAATCAATAAAGTTCAACATGATAACACAAGAGAGATTAAACAAATTGGTTGTACATTGGCAAGAACTAAAACTGAATATATCTTCTTTAGATTTTGATAAGTTATAAGAGTTAGAAAAACAATTAAAAAAATGTAAGGCCTCACTTTTTATTTTCTCTTTAGGCCCCATGTTACGTCGAGCCGCTCCCGGGAATGATCTGATATATCCAGAAGAGGTGTGAGGGTGGGAGTGTTTTTCTTGGTCCTATTTGTTTCTCAAGCTTCAAATAGAAAAAGAAATGTGCTTATTTTTGTTAAGGGTCGCGATATTATAGAAAATATCCATCAATAGTTTATATTTCTGTGCATACTGGATTGCCAATAGCGATGGTTATAAACAGATGCTTGAATTTTTGTATCGTAGAACGACTAATTAAAAGTTTTTGTTCTAAAGGTATAATTTTTCTATTTTCATTATCTGTTGACGAAATTAGCCAACAAATTGTCTCATTGATGCTGATTAATGAAGCAATTTGAGAGTTTTGACAACCCAATTCATAGACATATTGTGTACATTTCTCAGACCTAGGATTTTTTGCAGATCTCAACATGTAAAAATTTCGTAAAAATCAAGATCACGCACAAAGCCTAAGCTCTAGGCGTGGAAGTATCGTATTTGTGCAAAGCTCCCGATATCTGAAGCCCGCTAGCCCAACCAGTCCAGATTTGCACCGGATAAGCCAACTAAGGGGTTAAAAAGCTCCCTTCCGACTCCCTCCAGAGGAAGGAAGCTCGTCAACCTGCTCCAATATGACACGGGCAGGGGGACAGTGGATAACATACTCTGGCCATATTGGGAAGGTCTCAAAAGAATTTTCCTCACTGATGGTGTCATTTGAGCAGTGCATCAATGAGCAATAACACGAGTAAAATGTCCTCAGACAGAAATTTGATCTTTATATCCACAAATGTACTCCAAATGGTACATAAAATAGTGTTTAGAAAGGTTATCTTGAATGAATCAAAATCTTAATGTAATCTTTAATCAATCAAGCATATAGATCCGTGATGCAATGTCTTGTACCAGCCAATCAAATCCGTCAAGTAGTCCATCTCCGGTGTATGCACTACATCCCACGATTCTCCAGTGCCGGCTATTATCCATGGCCTCCAGGTTAAGCACCTGAATCAGAAGAAGTTATTTTCCCTCTGTTTGAATGTAAACAGAACATTAGGAATAAATGCCCATACACAAAAGAAAAATAGATAGGTCGAGGATCAAACATTAAGAACACTACTTTAACACTACTTAATAGCCAGCTGAAGTTATTTGAACACTACTTACTCATACTTCCTTAACCATGGCCAGAAAGAAGCTACTTTCCTGATATCTCAGTACTTCAGTTTTCATATTTGGAGCTTTAGATTTCCAAACATTAAGAAATCATCTAAACAATGTAAACCTACTAAACGACAGGGCTGCAATGAAGCTTCTCTCAAAAGAAATTAAAAGAGGAAAACTAGCATTTAATGTAAAGTGTACATTTAGTTTAAATACATGGTTCAAAAAGCCATAATGAATAAAGTTTGTAGAAAAGAAGAATAACAATAAAAAGAAAAGCTCACATTCAAGATGCGTGGTCAATTTATTCTTTATATGTAGCAAAGTAAGACCATGATTCATGAGACACCACAACCTTTTAAAGGAGAGGACAATAACTAAGACAGTAATGTGAAAGCAGGAGTTGCAGCACTTAGACCATCCCTTATTCCAAAGCTACAGAGAAAAGTTCTATTTATTTGATAAAACGAAATACTTGCTTCATAAATCCGGAAAGTTCTAGTTTACATTTTGCCTTGCTGCATTGGATTATAACATAAGATCTTTACTGATCATGGACCCCAAAGAGCATTCCTGGGCTAAATCCATCCACTTTCAACAAAGTCTCAAGGAAAAAGTTGTAAATAGTTACTGAGTTGGGCTTAAACATCATAAGCACGTGGTAAGTGCTTTTGCATTTGTTGAGCTGTGTCATTAACAAGGCTATAACCTAAGACTACCGTTCTTCAGTTGTGTAACAGAAGGGTTGGCTGAATAAAATGCAGAAAGCTATTAATCAGTTCACAACTTTACTTCACTATTAGTAAAATATAGTTTAAGTGAACAAAAAAGAATCTAAGTTAATTGCCAAGGATATCATTGATAGCACCCTATTCCTTACTAGTTTCAAGAATAAGAGTTCCACACTTCCACTTCATTGTTCATGCAACACAGTTTTTAAGTTATAATAAGAAGCATCCTTACTTTTGCTATTTCATCCGGAGAAAGAGCGCCTTGTATGTCCTGCTTATTTGCAAATATCAATAACGATGCTCCTGATAGCCTCTGCCAAAAAGAAAAGAATAGTGTAGGATACTGAACAAATAATAGTGAGTAAAATAATATCCGATGGTAAAGTTCAAGATTGCAAGTTTCTTCTTTGTCCCTATATTTTGTTTGTAGTTGTACCAAGCCTCACCACCTCCAGAAATGAACTGTTACCTTTATGAACAATAATGAAAGAGTATTTTCTGCAATAATCAAGTTATAGGGTACTCCTGGTTTCACGTAGTGAGGTGCTTCAGGAGATGAATAACTTCTAAAGAAATATGAAAAACAAAACAATGTGGTAAGCTAACTAAAATGACAGCTTTAATGCATACGTCAAGCAAATCCAAAAAAGCCAACACCAAGGATTATCTTATCCTGCCGTTAATAACATGATGATCTAAGGGTGACACTCAGAAAAATGCAAATTGTGCCACCAGTATGGAAAATGTGACGAAATGTTTAGCACTAGTAATTTTGCATAGGCAGCTCTGCTATGAAATAGCTGCAATACGTTTTTGCGAACAATTTAGTCATTTTAATAGCCAAACAAATAAGTCTCCAGACAACATCTTAGTTAGTACTAGTATGCTTATTTTGGCTGAGGGCAGAAGGAAGCAGTAACATGTCAAGGAGGGTTGCCATTTTCATCAAAACCAAGAGATACCATCTGTTACTTCTAACCTCCCCAGAGGAGGAATGCCTGCATAAACTCGTGAGAACTAAGCAGCAAAAAGGGATGTCACCAGAAAATGATATGAGAAATGATTGCTAATACTAATTAATTCGAGAATAACAAAATATTCAATTAAGTGTTAAAATAAGCATTAGCTAGCAACATATCCACAGCAAAGTCTGAGCTTGGATGAGCATTGACGCTTGAATTAACTGAAAACTCATCCCCATGCCTCGACTCGTTAATTTTGCATATAGACCACTAAGAAATAGCAAATGTATGCAGCATAGAAAATAAGCATGTATTATGTACCATAACAGAAACTCATTCCCCATTTCTTGACAGTATGAAATAGGTTAGCAGCACAAAACATAAGCATGCATGGTGTAGTGTACCCACTGCAGAGGTGCCAAGTGTTCGAGCTAGTGATGCCTTTGAAAAGGCCTTCTAAACCCATGCTAAAAAGGAACAAGCAGTATTTTTTTGATGAATTATGAAGAAGCAAGAGCTTCTGCCCCCCAACTAGGGGTGTCAATGGATATTCGAAAACCGACTAAACCGACCGAACTGTACCGCACCGAACCGATTTTTAGGTTTCTTTTTAAAAAACCGTAGGTTTTTGTATAAATCTATAACCGCACCGATAATTAGGGTAGGTTTTCTATTTTATAAAAATAAACCGAAAAAATACCGAACCATACCGAATAAATTTTACATGTGAAAAATATATTTATTTAGTATGTTTAAAAATAATAATGCATTATATTTTCTTTGGGCTTTGGAATTATGAAAACTATTACAAGCCAACAATTAATTAAACTCAAAATACTAACTCCTAAAACCTATTATGCTACTTCTATTTAAATTAAGTTATTTCAAGTATCTTTATTAGCAAGACACAAAGTATTCTAGCGATTATGAGTAGCAAACTACAATGTATTGAATATGTTTCCTTTCATATAATTTAGATTTATCTTTTTAAATATTTAATCTTCTATAGACTTTATTCTTGAGTCCCGGCTTGTTATATCTTTCAACTCGTGTGATTTATATTTTCTTTGCCTTTGTTTGATTTCTTTTACATTGTTGTAGAATAGTTGATGGATTTATACTCTAGCCATCTTTCTTTTTTCTTTTTTAATTCATCACCCTTTAAACAGTAAAAATGTCTAGAGAGTTTTGCTAAGTCCTCTAAAAGAACGTATGTTATTGCGTTCATTTTACTTCTGCTGGTGAATTTTACATGATATTAAAAAAAATACCGAAACGTACCGATATCGAAGAAAAACCGACATGATTGGGACGGTTTCAAAAAGTCTAATTTTGGTTATACATAATAGAATAACCGAAAAATTGGTATGATACAAATTTTATAAAATAACCGACCGAACCGAACAATTGACACCCCTACCCCTAACACAAAATGCAGCACTTATAACATACCACATGATGTAACAGAACTTCCGTAGTCAGAAAAATCTCATTAGGTAAAAGAACCAATGAAGAAGCGCATATTCAATGGTGGTGCTTTCCCAGATAAACATTGTATGAACCAAAAACATAAATATGTAGATCTTAAGAAAAAGAAAATGCAACTATTGGCTTATAGCAGCAAAAATTGTAATAAGTTATACCCTTTACTTGGCACAATATAGGAAGGACTCCCACCCCTGGATACACTCATATGGATAGAACATTGTCAAAGTTTAATAGACTAAGGCCTCATTTGTTTGCACTTAATGGAGATCTGAATCTTAATTATTCAGATCTCAGATATTAAGTGCGTTTATTTTTAAAGTCTGAACCTTAATTATTCAGATCTTAATCATTAGGTGTGTTTGTTTTTTTTACTTCACAACCACTTAATGGGTCTGAATAGGTCTGTATGATTCAGATCTATACCAGAGACTTGATTTTATTAAGATGCTATCACATATTCATTATTAACTATCGCCACCGCCTACCATTATCAACTACCACCATGCCATCACCGCCGCCGCCGCCGCCGCCGCCGCCACCATCGCCACCTCCACCACCACAATGCCACCATCATCCTCAATCATAGCCGCCACCATTATCGACCATCACCACCCACTATCCCCACCACTTCGACCACCATCATTCTCACCCACAATCAACAATCATCCACCTCAACTACCACAACTGACCGCCCCATCAACATCAACAACCACGGCCGACACTGCCCATCATTATAACCTACCACCACCCACCCACTACCTTCCTCAATCACAAGTCACAACTACTACCAACACCCGCCATTATTAACTATCACCACCCACCACCACCACCACCACCACCATCACCATCCTCAATCATAATAGCCATCACTACCAATTACTACTAGCTACTAGCATAAACCACCATCATCAACCAACACTACCACCAACCACCGCCTCTGGTCGGTATTCACCCGTTAACCACCACCACCACCAACTATCATATTTTAAAAAACTATATATTTTATTGATAAAATATTAGATTAGTTAGTATTTCATTTGAATTTTATGTTTATTAATTTTCAAATAAAGATAAATTTTGTACATTCAGATGTTAAAAATCAAACAGTCTTAATTATTTTGTATTCAGATCTTCATACACATCTTAATATATCCAGATGTGTATTCAGATTCAGACGTCTTAATCTTAAAAAAGAAATGAGGCCTAACTCTCATTTCTTTGCACTTAATGAGGGTCTGAATCTGAATGGTCCAGATCTCAACACATTAAGTGCATTGGTTTTTCACTTATAAAACGTCTGAATAGGTGTGAATTAGTCTGAATCGGTCAGACCTACAACCTAGTCTTAAAAGCATTCAGACCCTAAAAAAAAACTTAAACTTCACGCTTCGTTTTTTTTCATCTTGACTGAAAATTCACCCCTCTTCTCCACTCTCTCTCCAACTATCAATCGGCTACCCAAATCCTTTCCTCTTGAAAAATTGAATTGGTAAGATTTCAAACCTTTTACAGGTACTTTGTCTGTTAATTTGTCAAATTCACTATATTCTTGGTGACTGCTTGCTTTTATAAAGAGCTCTAAGAAATTTTATTACCCAAATCTTAATTGATTCATTGAAGTGCAAAAGAACTTCAATAGTTGTGAAGTAGATATGCTGGAAATCTTAAAGCCTTAAATGATTTGTTTGAAACCTTATATATGTTACCCTGTTGGAAAAAAAATCTAATAGAAGAGAAAAAGAAGCAGAAATCCTATATGCATGTTAGGCTCTCTTTGATGAACAATATTTTAATAGTTGGAAATATAGGTATTCCATGTGTGAGACCATTCATGTGTATATGAATTTTATAATCTAATATTACAACAGTTCTCTTGTTGTCGGGTCTGATTTCCTTCGTAAGTATTGGAGGTTCCTGATTGATATAGAGTTTGCAGAGAGATGCTATCTATATATGAAGAATTCAGTTAACTCAAAGTTCGCATCATTCCCTCTTCTTCATACTCTTTAATCCTCTGTTTCATATTAGCTTTCAGCAAAGAGTACTATTTTTTTTTAATCTTGTGTTCACTCTCAACAACAAAAACCATACATCCTTCGCTCTCTATTTTCTTAAGCTCTCATGGTATAGTGAGTCTAGCAAAGAACTGCAAGAATGTGAGAGACTACTAGTAAATTTTTGTCTGCTCCTATATTCTAAATATAAAGCTCATTTTTAGTTTGATTTTCCCTAATTAGCTCTATTTTGTTACTTTTGTTTGTGTTAGTATCTGCAAAAATCATAAAAATTATATATTTCAGAAATGGAATCTAGTGAAATCTAAGAGTTGGAGATATATGGATATAGTAAAAACTTTATTAGAAACTTGTATTCAGGAAGTATCCTTAACCAGGAGACTTGGAAGTAGTTTGAAGCCGGATTCATGGAACAAGGTCAAGCTAGCTTTGGAGACTTCTCATGGTTTTAAAGTTAACCAAAAGCAAATGAAGAATCTTATGATTATCTAAGAGAAAAGTATCAAGCTTGGTTGCCAATAACTAAAAAGACGGCCAATATTTATGATCCAGTAACCAATACCACTCTAATATCTAAAAGTGAGTAGGATGAGTACATAAAGGTTAGTTCATTATCTAGCAAATGCTTCTTTTTCTGTAAATGGTTTGAGGTGTATATAGAAAGTATGACCTTATATATTTGGATATAGGCTCATCCAAAAGCCAAGCCACGGAAGAGTTCACCTCTACCTTCCTGGATCTTCGTACAGCACTTTTTGAGGGTTTGGTTGGAGTCCCAGCAGTACAACTCCCCGACCTAGTGTCTCATCTTTATCTACTAATATAGATATACTTGATGATGTGAAGTTCTATTACATGACAAAAATGATGGAATTTCTATTAATTCTCCATCTCAATCTTCAGTTCCAATAGAAAGGAAAAATGCGGGAAAGAAATGAAAGAGCACATCGTCTCGATTGAAAATTGATGATAAGATGAGTGTTGCTTTGGAGCTATTAATTAAAAAAATAGTGCGCCTAACGTTGAGGAATGTATGGCAAAATTAGAGGGACTTGGATGGAAAGAACCATTATATAGTGCAACTGTTGGCATACTTTGTGAAGGTGATAGCTAGAGACAAGCATGGATGAAAATGGAGGTCGACAAATTAGAAAGTTGGGTCACAGCCATGGGAAAAAATGGGAATGCTTTGATCTTGCTAATTAGTTAGAATATATATTAGATGTTGATTTTATTTAGCATTTTCCTTATTTATTTTCCAACTAGTATCTACTATGGAACTTTGTGATACTATATATTATGCTTATTGAACATATTTTGTTTGTCAAATACACTTTTGCCGCCCTTGTTATACTTCACGAGTATAGAATAATTTTTATAATCATTTTATGGTGCTTCTTTAATTTTTTATGTTTCTATAATATATACCATGTTGTGCTTACTATTGTTTATTGATTTTTCTCCTTGTTAAAACAGATTCAACATGGATATCGACTACCAAATATTATTGTTGATGTGCTTGTATTGCCTTAGAAATAATTTTAGACTATAGCATGATCAAAGAAATCAAGATTTAACATCATCCTTATCTGGTCAAAAGTATATGTTAGAACTACTGTCGGGCTCTAATTGACAATGTATAGAATTGATGTGTATGTCGCGTAATGCATATGTTCGGCCATGTCAACATTATAGGACAGAATGAGTATTTTGTGGTTATTAAGAGAAGATCTCGACATTCTTCGGTAAACGGTTCACAAGAACTTTCATGAGGTTCTTGATGCAATGATGAAGTTTGAAAATGAAATGATAGCACCTACAACATTTGATTTGAATCCACATATTCTTTGTTACTGATATATAATTTTATTTATAGTTCGGATAGTTTAATAATTGGATCAATATAAAATACTCATTTATATCTTTAAATACTTCAATTTATCTCAAATAATGGTCATTTTTATTCAAGTTCGTATTTTCTCCAGTATTTTATTGAAATAATATTTAATCAATTTTTATTTGAATTGTCTATTTGTTATGTTTAAATATAGATAAACTATACATATTCAGATGTAGAAAACAAACGGTCTTAATTATTCAGTGTCCAGATCTACATACCACATTTTAATATTCATATATGCATTCATATTCATATGGCTAAAATCTTAATAAAAACAAATGAGGACATTGGTTCAGAGAAGAGACAAGGGAATATTGGATCAATAAACCACCCTGAAAATCCAAATACTTTTGGAGTTTTCGCTTCAGGGAGTAGATGAAGGTTCAACAGAAAAGAGAACTAGTATGATATGTACCTCTTCTTTCAGAAGATTATGTAGCTCGTATCTGCAGTCATCTAGCCTTCTCAGATCAGAACTATCCACAACCCACACCAAGCCATCAGTTTGCTCAAAGTAGTTTCTCCAATAAGAACGAATCGTTTTCTGACCCCCGACATCCCAAATATTGAGGGTATACCTGCAAAATGTCAAGTTAACCTATCAACTATTTGAAATTTTAGAAGTCCCAATTCCGACAAAAATCAATCGGAAGGCATTTAAACTACTAAAATGATCTAAGCACTACAGATAGTAATTTCAAAGACATAAATTACAAGTTGTGATACTCTGTTTGCTTCAGCGAAGTTCATCTAACCTAGTTGCCTGGACTCTGGACTTCACTGAGTAAGCCCCAGAAGTTTTAATGTCTGGCAGCATAAAACCAAGAACTCCACCTATTTCGCAAAACATAGCCAAACCGAGCATAATAAAAAAGGACGGTTTAGTAGGTCGATGGACAATATAGACATAGTCTAACAATAATGACATAACAGGATTCATACAACTGAGCCCAACTGATTTGGGATTAAAGCGTAGTTAATTGATCAATACCACAAACCAAGGCCCTAGAAGGTAACTCAAAGGTAAAAATTAACTAAGAGTATGTGACGATGTTTTCTGAACAAACTTGATGATTCAGTGGTACGCCTTCTCGATATTCACCAGATTGTTATTTCAATTCGGTGATTAGTTTATGTGACCAACGAGGTATTTTTTTAATAAGTAACTGTAGAAATTTTATTGACCAACAAGAAACTTTTTTACCAATTCCTTTCATTCCAATAGAAATTTTTCAGACTGGTCGATTTAAATGAGCCCATCCTAATTTAGTGGAATAAAATAATCAAAATATCCAGCTAACCAGATAAATATTGCTTGACAAATACATCTTGGACATGTAGGTTACGGTAACTGAGTAACAACAATAAATAATTACCAACATATTATTGAAACTTTATTGAAGCAGGACAGAGGCAAGGAAGTCTGACAAACGAAAACAGAGAAAAGGAAACAGAGAAACCATACTTCTGATACGTGATAGTTTTGATGTTGAAGCCAAGAGTCGGACTGATGACACTTGTGTCTTCCCCATTTATTTTCAAAACTATGGTTGTTTTACCAGAGTTGTCAAGACCCCTGTAGGAAAAACAGAATTAAACAAAGAGTAAACAAATAAGCAATGCTTGCATAATTCCCAAATGCCACAAGTTAAGAAGTGTTAGCTCGTAGACTTACACCATAAGGATGCGCATTTCCTTTTCTTTTCGCTTGATCTTTCGAATAATGCTGAGAAGTCCCATCGTGTTTGCTCCTAGTTTCCTAGGAAAAGTTTGACATTCATTATTAGAAGTTGACATGTAGCATAATGTGACGCCCCGATAGGTCATTTTGAGTACTAGCTTCTTTTTCTATGTTTCGAGACCTCCTGTAGCTTTATTTGATGATTCATGACTTGCGTACGTGGTCCTTGACCTTTTCCATAAAGTTTATATGTGAAATATTGAAGAAAATGCGATTTTTGACTTAAAATGAGGCTAGAGTTAACCACGGTCAACGCTTTTGGTAAACGACCTTGGATCGGTAGTTTGACGATTCTGGTAGGTTCGTATGATGTTTTGGACTTGTACGCAGGTTTAGTTGGGGTCCCGGGTGACCCGAGGGTGTTGAGGCGCATTATGTGAAAAATTGAAAAATGAGTTTCAAAGTTGAAATCTTGAGTTTTGATGATCGATTAATGTTTATTTCTATTAGTTTACTGTTTATTTCGTTTCGGACAGATGTATTTTTATTTCAGACCCTATTTCTAGTACTTTTAGCAGCCCATGCACTTGTGACACCAGTTTCTGGGATTAGACTAGACAGCGTATATGGATTTATTATGTATTTCAAAGCATTTCAGTCTTATTTCTTAATAATCTGCTTTTAAAATTATTTAAAATTGTTAAATTGAATAACTGTTTAGCTAATGTTGGTTTGCCCAGCAAGCGGATGTTAGGCGCCATCACGGCCCGTGGTTGGGATTTTTGGGTCGTGACACTAAAAATACAACAACAACAACATACCCAGTATAATCCCACACAGTGCGATCTGGGGAGGGTAGTGTGTACACAGATAAGAGGATGTTTCGAATAGACCCTCAGCTCAGGCAAACATAGGGACCCCAATAATAACAAGAAACAAGACGGGACAACACTAAAAAACCATGTAAAAGCAGCATACATAACAAGATAGTAAGATGATCAAAATGCAAAAAGCCTACTACCAACCAAATGCGAGAGTACGTACTAACACTACTGGTATGAATAATCTAGACTACCTAACCTACTATCCTAATCTTCGACCTCCACACCTTCCTATCACGGGTCATGCCCTCGGTCATCTGTAGTTGCGCCATGTCATGCCTAATCACCTCACCCCAACTCTTTTTCGGCTTACCTCTACCTCTCCTAAGGCCCTCCACACCTCCTTACTGGGGCGTCTGTGAAGCACGCTAAAAATAAGACAAGTAATTAATGTCACAGTAGTGATGTCCAATGATATGTTTTGGCTCATTATATAATATATAAGGGAAACAAACTACTATGTGACAATAAATTCTCTCCGCTAATTTTCATTTTTCTTTTTCATCTTACATAAAATATCAAATGAGGTAGATTTGTTTTCCTTCTCAGAATCAATCCAAATATACAACAACAACGACCCAGTGAAATCCCACTAGTGGGGTCTGGATTCCAAATATACAATACTTAAAACAGTGACCTAAAGGATCAAAAAGATCAATCCATTAGCCATTGAACATATTGCTTTTCGGTACCATTTGCAAAAAATGTAAAAACAAGCTTTCTTTTCCCCTCCCCTCCCCCATGTAAAAGCAAGTTAGAAAACAGCTGTACTTGGTGACAGTAGAAAAGTGAAAGATCATCCGGACCTTATAGTTTTTGAGAATAAAACCAAAAACAACCCCAGTTTTGCTGGATCAATGAGGCATAGAAAGGGAGGCGCAAGAATATCTCTATAATAACATCTAAGAAAAGCAAAGAAACTGCATTTTGCAGATAATTAAGTTCCAATGCTTTAAGAAACCAAACAAATAACTAGTACAAAATAGATCTGACTAATTCACAAGCAAAATTCCACCACAAAAGGGCAGTTCATATCCCAAAATTCAGCGCAAAAAAGCTAAAGGAAACATTGATAAACATAAGGGACACAGATATGAAAAGAAAAAAACTAGTAAAAGTGCAGTCATTTCAGTATATCCATTTAAATGCAAGCAAATGAAGAGCACAAAAGCCAGGAAATTAGAAGAAAAGTTTGTTTAAGTTAACAATATTATATCCATCAAAATGCAAGAGAATATAGAACATGGAAAAAAAGGGTAAATGAACGAAGGGCTAATGGAAAACCCAAATAACTAAGGGCAAAAAGCTAAGGCAACTGTCCTGATTTTCTGACCATGAAAAGCCAAACACCATATTAGATACTAAAACTCGAAAGATATGTAGCTTTATATGATGGAACAAACACGAGGAAAATCACAGTTAAGCATCCACCTCCCGTACCTGATTTTCAGTCAATAAACTTTTCTCCTATAACTTTTCAAGAACCCAAATGGAAAAAAATACTAGATCTTTGAGACTCAGACCATAAGCTTTTTAAGAACCCAATTGGAAAAGGCGGGATGTTTGAGAGTTCTTGGAGAAAAACATCCTTCAAAGGGGACTGTTAGGCGTGGCGAGAAACATAGTCTACAAAGAAAGAGGTATGACTATGTGCATAATTACACATAATGTGGAGGAGATTATGAAGACGCGAATCACTTGTTGATCCACTGCAAAATTCACAAACCAGATCTGGTATATTGTTTTGAATTTGCTTGAATTCAAATGGTGTGTACCAGAATATACAATTGAAACACACATTTTCAATACAAAATAATTAAGAGAAAGAAAATCAAATTCTCGTAATCTAAACAAACATTTCAACCTAATTAACAGCAGATTTCACCAGCTTAATTCTTTAACAAAGAGAAGTCAGAAAAAACAATGAAAGAACTATGCAAATCTTTAAAAAAAATCCAAAAACTAGTTAAAACCACGTACTTGAGGAAAAACAATTAGAGTAAATGTTTGGTTAATTCACAAAAAAGAATGGAGGAGAAAATAAGAAATGAAAGAAAAGGGAAAAGCCTAAAAAGAAATAAAAAAAGATTAAGAGAAGAAGCAAACCGGTTTCAGGCGGAAAGTCCGCGGCGGCGGCGAGCTTTGAGAAGTAAAAATGTTCGCCGGAGCAGAGTTGAATGTATGAGTGAGAAACAGTAACGAGGGAGGTTAATTTTGATCCTCGGATATGTAATTTATTGGACAAAATGACAAAAATGATTTGGGATAGATTTAATTTGATGTAATCAACTCTGACGGCTAGATTGACGAAATTGTGAGAAAATAAAAGATTTGATAGGAACTTAATAAAAAAAATTAGTCAAATAAGTACAAATAATAAATTTCAAAATCCTCAATCGAATTATGGTAGAATTCCGATTCAATTTCAAAACCCATAATGTTCAATTAAAATGTACAATAATAGTGTAACACGCAAACCTCAGATCCACATGCACAGATTTTACCTCAGATGGAGAGCTAATTTCCCCCATTTACGCTAAGAAAAAAATTTAGGACATCAAAAATGTATAAAGAAAAAAGAGGAATAAACGGCAAAAGCTAGGATGATCCAGTAGAGACGAGTTGCTAATATTTGAGAACAAATGCAGAATCCCAACGGACAGGCAACTTATTTGAACAAATTCACTGTGAATTGAGGATGATAAAACTTCGTCCAAGGTTTAATTTGAAGCTCTTTCTTTCAGATTTGGTATGAGCGTGTTTTTGACGGGGGAGGCAACTTTTTTTTTTACTAGTTAGGCTCACACCTTATACTTGCATAGATGATAAAATCAAATGTGGTATACATAGCATCAATTAGACTTCCGGCGCGAATTCGGACCAAAAAAAAAAAAGATACACCAACTAGAGAGAACTGTCCAGCAAACACAAAAAGACATCATATTGTGCAAAGATATTAGCCATAATTCAAAAGTTGTAGTAACTGTCACACCTCCTTTTTTTTACCCGAAAAGGCATATAGGGGAGTTTTTTCAATTAAAGTGACAATAATCGGAACGGAATTATTTATTCAAATTCAGAGTCGCCACTTGGGATAATTTATGGTGTCCCAAGTCACCGGTTTAAAATCCCGAATCGAGGAAGTTTGACTCTGTTTTACAGTCCGCGAAACACAGAAGACCGGGTAAGGAATTCTGTTAACCCGGGAGAAGGTGTGAGGTACTCTCGGATTCCGTGGTTTTAGCACGGTTGCTTTACGATCATATACCTGGTTGTTTAATTACTCGTTTTAGGACCTATGTTTATTTTACCTTTTGTCGCTATTAATCACTTGATAATTTGTATTTAAAGAATTAACTTAAGATGAGTTACGCGTACGTATACTCGTCTCGTTTGGCGCGTCAAGAATCATGTCATGCGTACGTGTACACAATTAGTCACGCTTTATTAATATTAGAATTGTTTGGCTAAGGTCACGCAAACGTGTACCTGGTTTATTTTGGGAATCATAATTATGTTACGCGAGCTAATGTATACATAATCACAATAATTTGATTAATTAAATTAGTGCCTAAAGCATACTAGCGATTATTGAGAATTATTTAATCTATACTAATTTTAGATTATTATAAGGACATGATTTATGGAATGGTTATGGAAAATAGAGTAAGTTAATTAATGGAATAATTAGGTTAGCATGTACCAAGACTTGCAGCCCAACAACTAAAGCCAGACATTTATTAAAGGGTTCAGATCTTCCAATACAAAATCAAAGACCAAATATTGTATTTCAAGACCATTCAACGATCCAAATCTAAATCTGTTCCTATGTGACCCATTTTGTCAGACCAATAAACTTTAAGATCAAGCTTTACTAAATAGCCCATGTAATTTAAAGAACAATGTAACGATTTGCCTCAAATAAAATTACTTAACATAAGAGAGTAACTAATAAACATAGAATCAACCAATTTGAAGGCATTCAAATACTCGAACAGTTTAAATAACAATTCAGCAAATCAACCATAAAATGAGATTAGAAAAGAAAGAACCTCTGTGAAAACTCTTCTGTGTATTTATAAAGGACCTTCGAAACAAAGCTTGATACACCAACAAAGTCGTTCAACTAGCAAATAGAACCCGACGACAAACACTGAAAAAATGCGAGCAAGACCGACAGAACCACGACTCGAAAAGCTCGACGCAAGATGCCGTAGAGTTACGAAAAAAGGGGTTGTTTTGACTGGTTTAACGCCACTTGGGGGTGATTCAAAGCTGAAGTTTGGAGGGTGTTTTCAACTGAGACTAACGGAGTTCGCCAGAAGAGATTTTCCGGCAAGAAAAACAAAAAGAAATCTGGCCAGCAAATAAAGTCACCGAACAACGACGCTACTGCCACGACGAGCACCGTCTTAAGGGAGAATAGAGCGAAACAGATCGACGGCGAACGTCAACAACAACGAACAAACCGAGTAGGGTCTCGAGGGACTAGGAATCGCCGAAACTTGGACATTTCCGGCTAGATCTACAGGTTAGAGGTGAAGCGAACGAAAATAATGGTGGTGAAGCAGTCATGGCCGTCGCCAGTCATCACCTCCGATGGCAGCAGTCATGGGAAAAGCTAAACCGGAGAGGATGGGGCGGCTATGCGTCTCTCAAGTTTGAGAGGATGAGAGCTCGCCGAAAATGGGGGGTTTGCTCTTCTTTTCTGTCTATGTCCGCCGCTCAGCTCTTAGGGATAGCCTTTTTCGTTTTCTTTTTTGTGTCTATGTTGGGTTTTCTTCTTAGGTCTCTAGGTTAGAATCTGAAGAAGAAGAAGAGGGGTCTTTGAATTTTGAGGGTGACCGCTGGTTTTGTTCAAGAGAAATAAGGTTTCTGTTCTATACGGTTCTTTTTTTTTCGGTTTTGGGTGTGTAGATGAAGATCAGATGAGGGGTTCTCTTTGGGTTATTTTAATGTAATTTTTACCTACTGTAGCAAACGTTAACAGCATCGGAAAATTAGATATGCGTATGTCAAAAGCAGCATCGGAAAATTCAGCCCAAATAGGCAGATAACAAAAGATCCTACTGTTATGTTGAACAGAGACGATGGAGTTTGGGATTGAGCAACTTGATTTTCTATTAATATATTTCAATATATTTCATTATATTCATTGTCTTCTTTTTTTATTGTAATTCAATGTATCCAGTTGTATTCCATGTATTTTATTGTATTCATTGTCTTTTTTTCTCATTGTATTTGAATGTATCCCGTTGTATTCCATGTATTTCATTGTATTCATTGTCTTTTTTTCTCATTGTATTTGGATGTATCCCGAATCCCGTTGTATTCTACGTATTTCATTGTATTCACTGTCTCGCTATATGCCATGAATGTATTCATAAGTTTTTTTTATTAATATAATTTATGTATTCAGATGTATTATATAATTTCTCTGAAGATTATTGTGTTTTTGGGGTATTTTTCGGTTGAGAATCTTTTTTATAACTGAAAATACAAAATTTGTGTGTTATAATTGATTTTGTTGATTATATTAGGAGTGTATTATGTTAATTGATTCACTTTCCGTTTTAAAAACAGTGTAATCCCCTATTTCACGCCGTGAATACAGTCGAATACGGTCGATACAATAATCTGTCCAGCTGTAATCCCATGTTTCACTCCATGAATACAGTCGAATACACTCGAATACGACAATTGATTAGCTGGACTTCCATGATTCACGCCTATTTTTGTTACTGTATTCATGAATACAATAGCTTAAATACATCAAATACATCTTACAACCACATAAAAGGTATCTATAATCCGTAATATAGCAAATGGTATCTATAGATGGCTAATTACTACTAAAAGATAGTGCTTTATGAAAATTTCTCTATTTTAATTAGGATATACAAGAGGGGAATGGGTAAATGGGCTTGGAATGAGTAAATTGGGTTGGACCATATTTTTTGGGTTTAAATTTAGGCTAAGAAGACCAAATAATACAATATATCTATAAAGTGTAAAAATCACTATTAATTAAAATAAACTAAGTATAAAACTAAATACTAAAAGTGAAACTAATTTTTGTATTTTTAAATGTTATAATAAAGTAAAAAGTAGGAAGAATAGGATAAAGCCACGGTGAAATTAAAATACTATAAATATAAATATACTAATTGACTTTAAACTAAAGATGAAAATATTTTTGTGATAAAATAAAGTAAAAGAGTCAAAACTAGTTAAACTAACTATATTAGACCTAAACTAAATATTTAAATGCTAAAATGTGTAAAATCTTGGGGAGGGTCAAAAATTACATGTCTACGGTAACAACCATAATCTCATTCACAGCGAATTGGTAACTCTAATCATGGAATGTGTAACAACTGTTAGTTACACATTATTGCTTAATGGTGGCTTAACTAACAGGTTTGAGGCAAAAAAAGGGTTACGGCTGGGAGACCCCATGTCTTCATATTTGTTTGTGCTGGCAATGGAATACTTGAGCAGATCTTTAAAGACACTCGTCTAGAATCCTGACTTCAACTTTCACCCTAAGTGTGCAAGGCTACAAGTTTTTCACATCTGCTTTGCTGATGATCTACTGATGTGTTGTAGGGTGATCACGGCCAACTATGCCTTCTAAAAAGGACAATGCGGTCGTTGCAAATATAATCTGGTTTACAAGTCCGGAGTCGAATCCCACAGAGAATTAACCTATCAATTACCTTTGTTGGAATCACTAAATCCTTTATAATCACTTTTCCAAACTTTGTAAACAATATTGGATGGTATTTCTACTAACTAAGATTGAAAGTAAATAACTAACAGTTGTAAACTAAATATTCTTGGGTTGAAAACAATAATGAGAAGGTTCTAAGGTAGTGATTTCCCCTATTGATGGAATCCCTTCCGGTTACGTTGCATATAGATTCACCAAAATATCTCTATCAATCATGAGCACTCTTATTACCGTAAATCTCTCCCGAGTAATTGCGATAATATACTAGACACACTCTCCCGAGATACGCTAGCTGCCTTTGATTATTACAGCACACTTTAAATCACACCCAAGGCTTCGTTATCCCTAATCCCGCCTTTAAACCCGCAATTATAGATCCTTCTTATACTTTGGGAATGGTGTTGTTCAATAATTACCTAAATACGCACTCTCTCCCGAGTTATGCACACTAAATAGGCACAGCTAATTGAGGATCCTGTCAATTAACTACAATAAACACGTAATTGAACAAATAGAGATTAACCGGTAAACTATATGAACATAATCAAGAAGTTCATCCTTCAATAGGTTCCGTCAATACCTTAGACTAAAGTATTTAGCTACTCATAACAACTTGAAGATAATCTACGAAAATATTTATCATGTAAAATTGCAAGAAACAGAAGAGAATAAAGAACTATGATGTTTTGGGTGATCTCTCACACTTGTGTTTCTTGCCCAAGAACTCTCTAAACAAAATCTGACCTAATGAGGCCGAAATCCTACTTTTTATAAGGGTTTTACACCAATTTTTCCCGGCTTGACAATCCTGCCCTTGGCTAGTTCGCGTTCTGCCGCGGTCCCACCGCGGTTACGCCGGGACAGCGTCCAAAAGGGGTCTTTGAATCTTCATCTCTACTCTGCCGCGGTCCTACCGCGGCAGACCAACTTCTGCCTTCCTTTGACTTTTCACTTGGTGCATTTCTTGGGCATTGTTTGATTGGCCTCCTTTTCTCCGTAATTGATCCCAAACTTGCTCCATCGATTTATTTCTTTGGATATAACCTGCAAAGCATGAAAAACACTAATCAGAGCATTTGGTTATCACTTTTTACAACAAAGCTATACAAAAATGTGGTTCTTTAGGGTCTAATTATAGTCTAATTCACCTATTATCAACACCCCACACTTAAATCTTTGCTCGTCCTCGAGCAAGTTAAACCACACTTTTAAGCCTAACCATTTGATGCATTACCCTTTTTATGTCACACCTGCTATTATGAAAGAACAACCTAAGCAGTGCAACAGCCACACCTCAGATGAAGACTCTAATGCCATGCCACACTCATGCTTACTCTATGTACTCTAACAGAAGTGAAGACTTGCTTTTTCTTCTTGAGTTCAATGCCCTCACATCACATTTTTGAGAAAAGTTCCACACACATGAAATCAAACAACAAGGAACTGTAGAATAAATGAATTCACTCACTCTCAGCAAAGAATATTCATATGCCACACAGATACACCATAAGTTTGCCCTTAGTGTAATACTCTACTAATCGAATTGTTCAGTCTAAGATCAATAGGGCTTCATTTGGTCGTAATGTAGGCTACGGGACGGGTAGGATACATTTAGATATAAGAGTGACTACACCTCCCTAAGCACTTTAATACATACATTTTCTCAATTAAACCTCATCCTCATGTCAAGCCCAACTCCACCTTCACATCAATTTATATTACCACATACTTCTTTAAGCACATTTACATCAAGAGCCACCACTTATCAAGAATTTTTTTTTTTCAATTCAAGTGGCTCTTCCTTTTTTTAAAACAGTGCACCTTTCTCCTTATTCAATTAGTTCCACTCAAAAGCCAAACCAACCACCCCACACTTTAACTTTTACAAAGTTCATAACAATTCAAGTGCTAATTCAAACAAATGGGTAAGGCTTGTAATGTGGTTGCCAAAGAAAAAGGATTATAGGCTCAAACGGGTTAACTATGGTAATGTGTAACAGGTGGATTCATTATTATATAGGCTACACAAAGAAATGCCTAAATCACCTCTAAGACCAAACAACTACTATTTCGCTTTGCACACACACAGGGCAAGTTCTAGGTATCGCATGCAAGCACAGAATATGTGTATAACCTCACACACACTTGGCATGTAACTCATTCCGAATTAGTTTGTCAACACATTCACAAGAGCATTCAAATAAGACAAGGTGTACAAAATTAAGGCATAAGATTAAGAGTCTACACATGAACCTAGACGTCGTACCCTCAAGTTCGTTTTAAGTATTTGCACGTATGAACACCACGGGATGCATTCTTGCCCAACCCTTTTTAGCCCACAAGAGTCCTAAGGGTCCTGAAATCAATTAAAGAAAAATCTACCTAACCCGGTTCAAGAAAAACCCTTGGAAAAGAACCGCGGTCAAAAGAAAAACCAAGGGGGAATTACTACACTACCTAAAAAGAAAATAAAAAATCTTTTTGGCTTTTTGATTAGACTACTTCCCTCAATAATACTGTCTAGGTGGTCCGTCATCAGGAAGAGTCTCCTAACTTTTCTAGTTTTTTTTTTATCCGACCTTAACCTTCAAGAAACCCGTCGACAGTGTCCGTCGTTGGGCCAAGTCGGTGACATCTAAGCTACATGTACAACAACACATATATACACAAATCATATATACAGATACCCAAGTCTCCCACCCCACACACAAAGAGTATGGCATGTCCTCATGTCATAAAACAATGAAAGCATAGAAGGGTAAGAGAACTTCCCTATCATCATTCTGAGTCAGAGCCGTTGGTGGGATCCACGTGACAGGCCCTCCCTAAATCACGGAACCAAGCCATCACCCGGCTCTCGGACCTGGCCTGCCGTCTAGACATGGCATCCAAACGAACATGCAGGCTATCTACCGAGGTGCGAAGTTCTGCCACGTCTTCCTCCACAGAAGCCAACAAGGGTCGGCTGGTGTATGATCTAGAGAACTCCGCCCCAGTATGGGGTTGCCGTGAGGAACCAGCTACATCATAAGACCTCCGGGGTGGTGCCATGGGCGTTGGGGCATCATCAGCATCGTCCAGGTCAATGTGTGTAGGTGCATCTCTGCCCACTTTGATCTTTGACGCTCTGAAGGCTGTTCTTGGGGTTAAAGTGCCATCCATCGGATTGACTGGGACATTAACCACCAAACATAACCTCGTCACAAGTGAGGGGAAGTAAAAC